TTTGGTCGTATAAAATATTTTTACACGCGCAACTCATAGGTTTCAGCATACCTATGGCAAGGCCTCACACTAACTTTGTTTTCAGTGGCCCGCCCAAAATCATTGATTTTTAATTTTTGGTGGCCCGAAATGAAATCTGGTGGCCCGCAAAAAACAAAGAAAAACATAAATCTTAATTTCACATCTCGTGTTGTATACTTATTTGAAATTGGGCGTCTGATCGCACTTGCACTAGTCTTTAAACAAACCCACACAATGGCACACACTGACATTGATGATGAGGCATACATTGGAATTATCCATTCACGACATCAAATTGTACCAGAATCTTGCATACCATTTCTACTTTCACTCATTATATCTAAACACGCGGTCTAACACAATAATGTGGCTTGTTGCAGGCGCAGTAGACGATCGCAATAACCGCTACCCGCCGGTAAAATGCTGAACGTGCGTACGGTCCCTCGCTCCGCGATTGCTCGCTCTCTTTTGAATGAGATTAGCACGTAAGAAACAATTTTTTTATCACATACACACTTTGAGAATCTCTTAGTGGCCCGATCGGGCCAGCAAATTTTAACTTTTGAAATCTGGTGGCCCGACATGAAGCTTTGGCGTGGCCCCGGGCCACCGGGGCACCGCTAGTGTCGAGCCTTGGGATGGTGTGAGGGCACCTAAAACTGAAAGTTCATCTTGAACTGCAGACTCGGATCTAAGATCAGTTGGTCTGTGTGAACAAGCAGCACACTGCATACCTGGAACCGGAGTAGTGTGGAATACCAACGATGCAACTCAAGTGTTACAGCTTCTTTCCAGATTGGAAGCTGAAGTAGGAATTGCTTGTGAAAACGGGAAACATCCGAAAAAAGTTATACAAGCCGATTGATGACATGTTGGATTGTTTAAGGTACTGTTAAGCAGTTCCCAACATCCCGCATTAGTCAATTCTTAACATAGGCGTTCAATCATGCGAATATTTTAAAGTGCTGTTATCTTGGTTGTTAAAATACTAAAGTAGGTTGATTTTTCAAGCCGCTATTTCTCGAAATTCGTAACTCCAATTCCAAAATTCCAAATTCCAAAATGCTAACAATTTTTTTCAATCATATTTTATGAGATGGCTCTCTTGTTACGACAATTGTTACGTTTAGAAATTCACTACAAATTCTACATCTTTTTAACTCATTTCCTAAATTAAAGCATTTAAAAAAGATTCCAAGGATCCTTTTTAGTTCATATTATGAACAACTTATGGTTAAAAGTTTAGGTCCCAACTCTGCTGTTTACTGGAAACTAGCAAAAATAGCATGTTTTTATATAAATTCACGCAATTTGCCGTCACATGAATTAGCGATGAATTAAAAAAAAGATTTTCGGCGAGAGCATAGAGACATCTCTCGTATGTAATGGATATGAGTTTGAATTTATTTGGATAGAGTTATGTTGCCCAATGCATTACAGTGTTACCGCGCCGTAACGCCTTAACAGTACATAATGAAATGTTTTGTTTTCGGTACCAGCTAAATTGCCTAGGCAAGTTTTCTTTCCATCACATTACGGACTTATATATTGACTTTAATTTTCTAAAGAGAGTAGCTCAGTAGGCCTGACTAAAGAAAAGCAAAGCTGACAATAGTCAATAGTAAATGTTTTAGCGTAGTTGGAAATTATGACAGGACTTACGTAGAATTTATGCACTTGATAATGAGTAACAATGTTTAAATAATATTATTTCACTTGTAATGTGCATTTAGTTCTTGTATCGTAAGAAACTCAGTCTATACAGTATGAATATAGATAATTTAATATACTGCATGTAGTGTTTAACCCTGAGGTCAGCCTGAAACGTGGAACTAACCTGTCAACGAACATAAAACAAAAGTAGAACAGAACTGTATTGCGTATACACTGTGAGCCAGATTGGCATGAGCTTGTGAGTATAGAATAAAGCAGCATGGGTTGGAACCGATTTTATTGTCTAAGTATTAATGTGGTTTAATCGGCGTAGTAAAGTCTACAATGCATATATGTATATATATCCATGCCTCGTCAATAATTGTATTCCCCGAACGAGTTCGGGGGGGTACAAAGATGTTAAAACCATAGATGGCCAGCAATGACGTTTACCGTGACAGCAGCGCCGACAGCCGCACAGCGGCGTGGAAGTTAGAAACGCTAAACAAACGCACGTGTCAATAGCCGTTTGACTAGAGCCAGTACCGATATTTAAAAAAAACGTGGATGCGTGCTTTTGTGCATAGATGTGAAGGGGTGGAGAAGACCTAAAGTAGTACTCGGCTAGGTTTTTTACCTAAATATTAATACCATGACCGGGCATGTTGAAAGGAAAAACTACATTTATTCATGGTTCAATGATGAACCATGAATAAAATGTCACACGCTTCTAAAACACAGAAGCAACTCGCCGAACTCGGAGTCGGTTGAAACTGACGGAATCGTGATAAACTCCCATTTTGGGGCTTTAAAGTCCTATTAGATTCATATTTAATTAAAATAAATTTACATCTACTTATACTTTATTGCATTATTTATTAAGCTTTGTATATGGTCTGTATAACAAACCACAAAAAGGAAGACATGCATGCAACAACAACAATAATAAACAATCACGTGTTTAGTTACAGTGCACATTTTAATCCATCATTACGCATTTATTGTAGGGCTTGTTTGCCCAATTTATTAGATATTAAATACACGAGCGGTGTGTTAACGAGTTTTATTGAAAATGTCTACAAGCACGACGCAAGATCCATCTTACATACATGATAGGATGTGTATATAATGATGATGTCTGTTGGCCGGAACGAAACCTGTTTTTAACATTAATCACGACGCGTCTGTTGCTATAGCAAACAGTGCGCTGTGACAGATTTGGACATGCAAAATAGAATCATATTAATACATACATACATGTAATCACATTATATGGTAGTTAATACATTAAAAGATTTTACAAACAAAACAAATGTGATATTCAACACACAATAATAACTATATTTCACAAATTGCCAAATTTAAGTGTCTTTCTGTCTTTCTTGCTTTTCTTGTCACGCAGTGTGACGTTGAATTGGCGAACTGTGTGGTGTAGGCGAATGTTCACCATCAAAACGACGATGAGGAAGTGCAAACTGCACTTTTCACATACAGATTGTTGTCAACACATTCCCATCAGAAGCGAGATAAGAGAAGCTTTTACTCTTGGTTGACTTATGACACTGTCAATGTAGCTGCAATATTAATTCCATCTCTGCAGTGAGGCAGACAGACGGTGCTGAACTTGTAAACCCACTTTAGCCTCAGCAAAGTTTTTTGGCAGACATGAATGTGTGGTCCGGATTGGTTTCTGAGATAACAGAGAGGCTTTCTCACAGCAAGGCTTGCAGACTTTCGCGTTGATCTTCCGTACAATGTAGCGCCGATATACGCAATGACATTCTTTTCTTGGAGAGATAGAGACTCTTTCTCCGATTCTGATATGCTGGTATCGACGACAGACTGTACGTTAGCGGACATACAGGAGGTGCTACAGCTGTTTGGGTCACACTCAGAAGGAAGGCTGGGAAGCAGTGTCAGCTATCAAGAAAAAATATTGAGACATGATGAACAAGCCAAATTGAAATTCTACTGAAAATATAAGCTGTTTTGTTTAAAAGCTGTGTTTTGGTGTCTTTCCATTATTTTTACGTTAACATTTTTTACAGATTTCAATAAACTTGTTATTACCACAGTACTACCAATATCCAAGCAGCAGAATTTATCACATTATTACGATTAGTTTATTATAGTCCATATACTTATTATTATACCTTAGCAGATGTGGAGTTCTTAAGTGAGATGAGAAATTCATCGACGTCCTCCTCGCAGTTCGAGTATTTGCCCGGCCGCATCACAGCGTCGACCATAATCTGAGAGATTTATTGGACACAATTCATACAAAGTCATTACAGTTTTGTAGGGAGAGGGTAGAATTTATTTATTTAACAAAGAAAATGCATTTATGCAATTATATGAAATTTAGCCTTGATTTCGTTAGCACTATCGTTAAACGACAATATTGGCGCGAGTAGGATATGTGGAAGAATAATTGGTGAGCATGTTCAAATAAACAATATTTCTTTTTACCCAAAATATAATGCTGGATTCCCTTATTGTTAAAGACCAAAACTTCACCAACTTGTACTGCCGCCAATAGCCCCAAAATGTGAAAATCACCAATTATTCATGCTGCTGATATTTCCCGTTTTACAGTAGTAAAGATCGTGTCTCGTAGATCGAGATGTTTTAACGCGTTAGTACCAAAAACATAAACAAAAAAACAGATCGTTACCTGTCTCATAGCAGCTCGGAACTGGCTGGTATCAGGGTTGTCCGTCCCCTCCCTTTGCTCTTACATCGAGAAGAGGATTCTCAACAACATCCTCGCGTTCAGCGTCTGGTAAACAAAGTATTTCATGTCGTGTTCTTGCTGCGAGAAAGTTCCCAAAGTTCAGCAATGTGTTGATTGATATCTTGCCAGCCAACAATACACAGCGGCATCTATGAGGCCTGAATATACAAATTCGATTTATTACCCAGACACATTTTAACAGCTTCAAACCGTGTTATTAATAGTAGACCACATGCAAAGAGGCCATGTTACTTGCTCTTATTATACCCTGTCAGCCATTTCAACTCTTGAGAGAACTCGTGTGTGCCCAGATGTTGCCAGTATAAGGCCATGTTTTCTAACCAGAGAACTGATTGTTGTGGCTGCTGCTTGAATGCAGTTGAATAGCTGCATCGAAGCACTCAAAAATTCAGCTGAGTAGTATCGCCTCTTTGATGTGATGATGCCCCCACTGCTGACATATACCTTCATACCAGTGCACAGAATGCGTCACAACCTGGCACGCAAGCTTCACTCTAAGGGAACTGAATGGTGGCAGGTTAAATGTTTCTCAGTTCAGCTTCGGGAGCTAATCTGGTCGCTTACTAGCATCTTGTATAGTAAAAGTCACGTATGTGTTGCACACTCGATACTTGTATTCCATCAACCGTGAATCCGTGCTTTTTTAGATTGTTCCTGAAGTTTTTGATCAAGTGTGGGGATCATAGATGACAAATCTGCGTCCCTATCATGCAAAAAGAATGGTTTGTCGCAGTTACATGCAGTTTCGTACTGAAAGAGGTTGATGTGTTACTGCCTTTGGCTCACTGATCACAGCTGTTAGACGGCTAAAGCCGCATGTTGCCAGAAGCTCTAAAGCCTCAATAAACAGCTCGACATTTTTCCTCCAATCTCTGTCACCCGACATCCTGACCAGCTGATGAGAAGAAAAGCGCAACGATGCGCTGCTTCCATCTGTAGATGATGCCCTCGAACGACTGAACGCGATTGCAGGTTAGCAGCTTTTTTCGACCAAACCTTCAACGAATCTCTCTTGCGATCATATGACACGAGCATGTCTTGATACAATTTATCCAGTGCTATACCACACAAGCTTTGCCACAGGTGGAAGATTCTGCCACTTTATAGACGAAGTGCTTTCTAGATATGTTAGTGTTGAAATCCTGGATAAACGTCAAGGGTTTTCACACTTGCATTAGAGTTTTGGACAGAAGGGCAATGCAAACGTTTTCTAAGTATTCGATACGTTTTTGGCTTGAGCTGACACAGTGACGTCAATGCTTTTATCATGCGGTGGTCCAACGTCGTCCCCTCACAGTCCCGTTTGATTGCACGGATCTGGACTAACAAAAGCTGGAGTTGTATATCCGAAATGGGAAAAATAAGACCAAATATTTAAGATTGGTAGGGCTCACATTTTTATGGTTCAGATTTAATACACATTGTTTATCTCACCACTTTGCGAACGCCGTCCATACTGTTAGCTTAGTTTGATTTTAAAAATCAAGACCCAGTGTGTGGTGGCTAGCTGTCTAGTTTTATGGTTGAAACTATATTAAAATGTAACCTACATATTTCTGTAGAAGCATTCTTATTTATCTAAATGCAGTGTCCAAAATGCAGATAGCCTATATAAAATACTATCTCCCTAAATACACTAGGTATTCTTTTCAGAAGGCTTTCAAGCTGCTTGCAGCTTATTTTTTGTTAGAGGTGCCAGCCTTGTGCGTTCAATGTCCTGTGCTCTGCACTTATTCAGTTCAGCCGGATGTATCTGCGACAAGTGAAAATTATTAAAGCAATTACAATTATGCAGAACAATTATTAACAATTAGAACACAGGCAGTAATTATTATCATACGGCTTCAGTTCAATTATCTACACCATGCGGATATCAACAAAAAAAAAAAAATAGTTCAAAGTCATAACTAGTCTTAATCATGATAAATGACCAAATATAATATACTGTATGACCAAACCATGCAAAAAATTTAAGAGACCTTTAATTTTGACCACTAATCAAAATGATCATCTTTGAAATTCAAGATAGCAGACAACAAACCATAAATTAGTGTACATAACAGTAGACACTTATCCATTATAAATGTTCATGTTGTGATACTAAATCACATTGAACAAGGAATGAAAAATTTAATATCATAACCTGCGTCAGGAGTGCTTTATTTCGCCGCTCCAGTTTTCATCTTCTGCTGGTAATTGGCGACTCCGTATATTGGGCAGAATTCATGAGAAGGTGAGAACACATCTTTTGTCTGACGAAACAAACAAATTTACATGAATATCTGTTATTTGCCTAATAACTCTCACTCAGCATATTCTACTGGTCATACTGACAGATTCTGCCTGCTCTTAAGTCTTATTTTAGTTTTAAAATTCTTTAAAACATAAATTTAGCCAACCTAACATTAATTCTATGTTTATCATAGTTTTCTAATATAGTCTTCATACTTGCTATTATTCAATTCACCTTGTAGTAATAACTAATGATGGATAAAAACCTTCATTCACCTGATTCAGTACTAACTCACTGATGGAATAAACCTGTCACATTCACTGTAGTTACTTACTACATGATGGAATTAAACTTCAAAGCACAATAAGAAAACTGCCCAGAAAACAAACAATAACACTTAAAATGATACAAAAGTACATATGGTACTCAAATTCCTAATGATTCACCAAATCTCCTGGGTCCTTCTGCTCGGTGAATGTCATCTCTGCCGCTGGACGTTTCCTCTTAGCGGTGATCTTTGTGGGCGGAGGTTGGCACTCAAAGAATTGTAGGAATCGCATCCACACCATTTGTGCGGCTCGACACATTCATAAAACTTGTGATCCTGGGAAATATCTTCAAACATCACTGATTAGATTGATGGGGTTGTGTTTAGAGCATGAAAACAATATCTGGAATATTTGGGCCAGGCAAGGCGGTCGATAACCGATGACATGATAAAACCGAGAACTATCAAAACTAGTATCATAATCGGAAATATCACAAATAGTTGTCTGGGGATACAATAAACTTTGATCTTATCTGCCCTCGAAATGTAGCTGCACGCAGAACACGCAATTCGAATTCAGCATACGAATGCATCTTTCTGGCGGAGCCGTCTTCCGCCTGGAGTCTGCACCCCACACGCACAGTCTAACAATGAAGAAGTAGCACCAGTAATCAAAGGATACCAGTAGCAGTACAACGGTATGTTCAAAATATATGACTTGTGTACAATCTACAACAAACAGATAAAAATCTCATAGACGACAACCATCAGCCATAACAATATCATTCATGAAGTTGTCAAAAGCATATATGAATTTAATAGGGCATAAATCTACGATAATAATAAAAAAACATTTGTTTTGGTGCATATACATAATGCATGAGTTTTAATTAACGAATTACAAAATGCCCCGATAATTGTTTACACCGGTAATACAATAGGCCTACCATAGTTAGATCTAGATCTATTCATAACCATAAATGTTCTGAGATATGGAGATTGGCCAACATGTAGGCCTACGGGGCATTATGATTAGTGATGGGAGTCGGTTGTGGGTTTTATAATCGATCATAGGTTTATAATCATTGCGGAACAAAATGTTTACGACCGCATGACCATGAAAGATGAATGGCGTGTGCCTTTTCCCTCTCGATCATTCCTTAACTTTAGCTAGGGACAACATCCAAAATACGACAATAACTGAATAAGTATCGTGCCTATAATTTTGCTTTTACCTTTCTGAGTCTTGAAAACCACACCCCGGTCGAAAACCTAAAGAACTTAGGTCCCGCCTAAGTTTTCGGTTATTATTGCAGTTTACCGCTGCACAGTGGTGTCCTGTACTTTTCGACTTCCAATTGGATTTCTCCATGGCTGCCTGCAAGATGCCTGCAAGTACCTTCCACGTCGCTAGGGGCGCTGGTGCGCAACGCGCACTATGACGCAAATAGGAGCCTGGCCATCTTATTGGTTTTAACATCTTTGGGGATACTATGGAACTGCCTGTCACGCCGCCCGCCGCCGCAGAGATTTCTCTGTGAGCCGCGTCTACCGGCTGCAGTTCTCTCGGATCATCTTCAAATTTCGCATGAAGGCTGTTATCGCTGAAGCTGAAGACGCGCCAAGGTTTTTAGTGTGGGCGCGAGTCATTCATTGCCATGGTACACCAACCAGTTTTACTGTCGAACATATTCTAGAACGTGAGTACTGACAGTTTTTACCAATTGTCATGAAATTTGGCACACCAGGCACGCAATGTATACATATATAATATATATATATATCATATTAATATATACCTATATATATATATATATGGGACATGTTATATCGGCCTGTGTGCGCAAATCTCCCATCGACATCGGCTAAAAACAGACACAAGTTACAGTTCTACAATTTTCCACAAAGAATGTACGTTACCATGCAACCGATGCACTCCGCCCACACCCAAAAAACACATTGGCGTCTTTGCCCTTTTTTTCTTCTACCATAACGCACCTGTGGCATCTTGACGGAAAAGGTGTGCCACAGATACCAAGACCAAGGTCCTGCGACCTTCATTTCACCTTTACCTTGACCTTGATCATATTTCCCTTCCGCTCTCTAACTCGGCCACCAACCCTAACCTAGCCCAGCTCTAGCCTCGCTCTCTAATTGACCTAGCGCGACCAAACTTGGTATGCTTACACATCTTGGGGAGAAGGTCTGTCGCATACCAAAACCACCACTGCCCTTGACCTTAGTTTGACCTTGACAGTCGACTTACATTTCCTCTTCGGCCTCCTAGGGTAACCAGATTCCACATACTTGCACATCTGAGGCATACCAGTTGTCTAAAGGTAGGGGCACACGAGCGATTTTTATCGCCCGATCGCCGCGAATTTGAAAATCGCTCGAAAAATTCGCCCGTGTGCCCGTTCACGTCGACGCCGATTTTAATCGCCCGCACGAATAGCCCGCA